TCACTAAAAATACAAAAATCATCTGGGTGTGGTAGCATATGCCTGTAATCCCAGCTTCTTGGGAAGCTGAGGCAGGAGAATTGCTTGAACCTAGGAGGCAGAGGTTGCCATGAGCTAAGCTCACACCACTGCACTTTAGTCTGGTTAACAAGAGCAAAACTCCTCAAAAAAAAAGAAAGAAAGAAAGAAAAGTAAGAATATTGGGCTTCCATATGGAAAGGTTCTTAATGCAAAGGGAGGCACAGTAATCTCAAATGTAGAGAATATACATGATCATAATCTACTAGTGAGAATGGTGTCATCTGACCATCTTTTGGAACAAGGGTCACCCTTCGAAATGAAACAGCATCTGTTCAAATACAAGGCAAACAATAATTCATCTGCCTGGCTTTTCCTACACAGAATATAAATTGAGGTAACCACATCTGGAAAGATAACGCATTATGCTTTCATAGGACAGTTCTTTAGTACAATTAAGTATATTTCTAGTCTAATTATCTATTTGATTTGACTTTTTTTTTTTTTTTTTTGCCAGTTCATTAAACTGTAGCAAGGTCCCATAGAAGAAACAGATCTCCAAAGCTAAAAAATATACATTCATGTTTGCCCCTTTAGTTCCAACTTTTGAAGATTCAAAGTACATATCACCAAAAAGTTCTAAAAGCTCACTTTATATAGATGTCAATTCCAGGAGGGGGGTAAAAAAAATGTCAATTCCCTCCCAGATTGTTTTATAAATTCACTAAAATATCCATCACTTAGAGCATTTCACACCATGTTAAAAACAAAAAATAAAATAAATTTAAAAGGAAAGAAGAGACATCAAAATCCTAAAAAGATTTTTCAGGGAACATGACAAGGGGATTCTAAAATTTGTATTATATCAGATGGGCGTGGTGGCTCAGGCCCATAATCACAGCACTTTGGGAGGCTGAGGTGAACAGATTATTTGAGGTCAGGCGTTCGAGATCACCCTGGCTAGCATGGCAAAACCCTGTCTCTGCTAAAAATACAAAAATTAGCCAGGTATAGTGGCGTCCACCTGTAATCCCAGCTACTCAGGAGGCTGAAGCATGAGAATTGCTTGTGCTTATGGGAGGCAGAGGCTGCAGTGAGCCAAGATTGCACAACTGCACTCCAGCCTGGGTGACAGAGTAAGACTCTGTCACCAAAAAAAAAAAAAGAAAAGAAAAATATATTATACAATCACTTATTGACAAGGAGGTTTAGGATTATTTTAAAGTACTGCAACATAGTCCAGGTGCATTGGCTCTCAGCATTATGGGAGGCCGAGGCGGGAGGATTGCTTGAGGCCAGGAGTTCTAGAACAGTTTGGGCAACATAGCAAGAACCCATCTCTATAAAAAGTAAAAACCAAAAAAATTAGCCACGCACAGTTGTGCATGACTGTAGTCCTAGCTACTAGGAGGCTGAGGATTAGGGATCACTTGAGCCCAAGAGTTGGAGATTGCAATGAGCTATGATTGTATCACTGCCCTTCAGCCTAGGAGACAGACCAAGACCTTGCCTTTAAAAATTAGAATTTTTTCTTTTCATTGTACTTTGGGCTCTGGGGTACATGTGCACATCCTGTATCCTGCAGGATTGTTGCATAGGTACATACATGCCACAGAGGTTTGTTGTCTCCATCCCCCTCGCCCCGCCCTGTCGCCTGCATCAGGCATTTATCCCAGTGTTATCCCTCCCCATCCTCTTCACCCCCTGCTCTCCCTCCTCTTCCCTTCCCCCCACTAGCCCAGTGAGTGTTGTTCCCTTCCTTGTGCCCAAGTGTTCTCACTGTTCATCATCCACCTATGAGTGAACACATAAGATGTTTGGTTTTCTGTTCTTGTGTCAGTTTACTGAGAATGATGGTTTCTAGATTCACCCATGTCTCTACAAAGGACACAAACTCGTCATTTTTAATAGCTGCATATTATTCCATGGTGTATATGTGCCACATTTTCTTTGCCCAGTCTATCAGGGTTTTACCATGTTGTCCAAACTGGTCTCAAATCAGAGCTCAAGCAATCCACCCACCCTGGCCTCCCAAAATGCTGGAATTACAGGTGTGAGTCACTGCACCTAGCCCCGAATGTTTTTTCCAAGAACAAATTTAGCTTGGGTTCATTCAATTCACTATATAAACTTCAGGCTGTGATCAGAATTAAGAAAATTTCATTTTCTTCCACTTACAAAAGAGAAAGGTAAAAACAGTCACATAGTTTAAAATGCAAATCACTGTTAAAATTTGTATTGCGCCCAAAAAGCTGTTTTTGCTTATAAGCATAGAATGCATACACATCACCTGCAAATCATACATCAATTACAGTCCTGTATGTACATGCAGCATCTTCATTATCCAAACGTGATCACAAAAATAAAATGTAAAGCTTTACAAGTGTTTCCAGGCTAAGTTAGCCAATTTACCTGTCTCAGTAATTCAAGTAGTCTATTACATTCAAATACTCACTCTCCAACAAAAACATCTTTTTAAAACTTCCCTTGGCAAAGTAAATCGCATGCACCATTTACTGAGTCCATTCAAGATGTGAGGAAACTGTCCCAGTGAATTGTAAATAGGGTGCCTAAAAGCTAAAAGGAATCTTACTTATCTAAGTCTTACCTGATTAAATTCTGGCAGACCTGGCATACTGGGGTACATCTAAATTAAAGAAATAAAACCTCTGTTAGTTTGCTGATGTATTTAAAAACATATTTAATCCTTATAAAATAAATATCTATTCTTTTCCATGATCTAGAAACCAAGACTTGCTGAAATTCATGTATCATGTTCCAAATATTCCCTTATGGCATTTACCACATATAATTACTGTAGCAACTATGATCTAATTAATACAACATTCAGTTTAGAACCAAAATACCTCAATTTAAATTTCATTGATTTATCAATTACTCTAAGCCCCAGTTTTTACATCTGAAAATAATATCTGCTTCATAAGAGTATTAAAATAATTATCTGAGATAATAATACATAATGTGTCTTACAGTACCTGGTAAAGTTGGTGTGTATAATAATGGTAGCTATTACTATAATTAAACTATGAAGATAACACAGCTATCGTGAGAATCAAGTAAGAAAATATACATATGGGCTGGGCATGGTGGTTCATGCCTGTAATCCCAGCACTTTAGGAGGTAGAGGTGGGCAGATCATCTGAGTTCGGGAGTTTAAGACCAGCCTGACCAACATGGAAAAACTTCATCTCTACTAAAAACACAAAAAATTAGCCATTGTGGTGGCACATGCCTATAATTTCAGCTACTTGGGAAGCTGAGGCAGGAGAATCACTTGAACCCAGGAAGCAGAGGTTGCTTATAAATTATCTTTATTAATTATAATTTATAATTATGCCAAATGTCCCTTATTAATTATAAATTATTAATCTTTATTATGATTCAGAAGAACATTATGGATTTAGGAGTTAGCATTATGGTCACCAATTATATTTTTGGGCCAGACACAGTGGCTTATAACTGTAATCCCAGCATTTTGGGAGGTTGTGGTGGGAGGACTGCTTGAGTCCAGAAGTCCAAGACCAGCCTGGACAACATAATGAAACCCTGTCTCATAAAAAAGTAGCCCTTTTTGCTGATGTGTGCCTGTGGTCCTAGCTACTTAGGAGGCTAAGGTGGAAGGATTACTTGAGCCCAGAAGGTGGAGGCTTCAGAAAGCCAAGATTATGCCACTGTACTGTAGCCTAGGTGACAGAGCAAGATCCTGTCTCAAAAAGTATGTGTGTGTGTGTGTGTGTGTGTGTGTGTGTGTGTGTGTGTGTGTGTTTCAAGAAGTATTCACAGAGAGTTCTAGTTAAAATAATGGAAGAAAAGGTAATGTTCATAAAATAAGGGTCACTCTAAATTATTCAGAAATGAATATTCAGGACTTTTACTTCCTGTTCCAGACTTTTGAGAATGCCTTTTCTCAGAAGCTTTTTTTCAACAATAAATTGAAAATGAGAAGGAAAAAGATGTTATAATCAAGTCTATTGGATTTGTTTCTTATTGGGAGCTACAAAAAGAATCAATAAAAGAGAAAAACTTGTATCGATATTTAAAATAGTGAATTATCAACTTCCTCCTGTGCAACATAATGAAGAAAACTGCATAAAAGCTACAATTCTGAGAATTTTACTAGGATCTAAGAAAAAGGCTGGCATAGGAGAAACAGCCATAATCATCCATTAACTTTTATTTACAATCCCGTAAGATAAGAGACTTTTTTCACTTGTTAAAAGTATACCATGCCTTGGAACATTCATGAAATTACAATCATTAACATTCTTCTTCAGTCTATGGGCTGATAAAAGACTTAGTAATTTTTATCACTTCTTTTTGAGATTCAAGATTATTGTAAAAAAAATTTTTTATTCACAGACGTACAAGGAGCCACTTGAATCAATTCGCATTCCATTATAGTCACCATCACATGATGTCATAAAAGATGAAGGGGAAAAACAAGGTTATCTTGGCGTACTATAAACATTTTGTAAGCAGGTAAAATGAGAATTTCCAATCACAGGACTTACAAATCATAGGGAATTCAGTAAGGGTGGGACTAGTAAATATTTAACAAAGGCAAGGAACACTATTTCAGACATCCCCAAAGAACCGGAATTTCAAAAACCTTACCATGCTACCCTTCATAAGAACATAGTTATGAGTTTTAAACTTTACAGGAATATAAGGCCTAATGCACAAACAAATCTAAAAATAGAGTGGTTCCCTTAATTAAAATATTGCTCTTCTATTTTCCTTTTAATTTATTTTTCCAAGAGCAATGTCATTCAATCTTCATTTCACAGACCTGATTACCCAGAGGAATTTTCCATAGCTCTTTCTTCCCCTATCTTTCACTAGTTGCTTTTTTGACCTTTGTTCTATAAGTAGAGCTTCCAAAGTGTTGTCAAGAACTCAGTAGCTCAACTCAAATCATTCCACTCTGCTGCTGATTATCTGCTCAATCCAAAAGCCTGCAGGTGCTCGCTTTGGCAGCACACATACTAAAATTGGGACGATACAGAGAAGATTAGCATGGCCCCTGGGCAAGGATGGCATGCAAATTCATAAAGCATTCCATAAAAATAAATAAATAAAAATAAAGTCTACGGAAGGAAAATGGAACTGAAATTGCCTGTTCGTCTAATCTGAGCACAGTGTACTAAAATATACCAGTCACTATTTGTCACAGATATTTTAGTTGGGGATAAAAACCATTCGCAACATTCTGAATGTTCAATATTCAAAAATTGTGAATAATTTATTCCAACCCAGTGAAATGGATGTAACACGAGATATTTCCGTAACATCTATCCCCCCCATCAAGAGGAACAGAAGCATCAAGTAGAATAAAATTCATGACAATATTAACAGTGATGGCATTAAGAATAACTTGTTTATACTTCATTAAATTCCTTAAACATATTTATCAAGAGCCTACTATGTGGCAGGCACTGTCACATACACTGGAGTAATAGTGAGGTCCCCGTCCTTGCCAGATTTTCTACAACAATCGTAATATTTTTATAAAGTGAAAGAAATAAACATTGAAAATTCTAACTTTATAGATAAAATCGTATCTTCTAAACAAGTCATATTCCTAAGTTTCTATAAACAGTCGTCCAGGTAGTGTTGCTTTTAAAAGAAGAATGTAATTGAAAATTTTACCTGTGAGGATTTTTTGAGCTGGGTATGACTGTGCTACATTCTCTCTTGTCAAATACTCCTTCAATCCAGGATTTCTGGGACTAAAAAGAAAGTGTCATTATTTTCTACTCTAATTATGTGACAAAACAATGTAAACATAATAGTTCCAGCAGGTAAGAAACACTTAAGTATCATGAATGCTGATTAAAATGCCAAGACCAATCCCACACAGGATGAGCATTTACCAATTTCTATTATAGACGGCATAGGCACAAATAAGCCTAAATGTTTAATGTGAACATTAAACAACACACAAAGTTAATATGCCCATAATCTCACTTTGAGTAACAAAAGCCCTACCTGAACAAACCTCTAGCAAGGAAGTAAAGATATAACTGATGTAACCTCTTAAATAAAAGTCACTTTTATATCTTGTACCATCATCTTCTGGAATAAATACCAAGCTCCCTAAACTTCAATTTTTTTTTTTTTTTTAGAGACGGGGTCTCACTATGTTGCCCAGGCTGGAGTACAGTGGCTATTCACAGGCACGATCCCACTACTGATCAGCATGGGAGTTTTGACCTGCTCAGTTTCTGACCTGGGCCGGTTCACCCCTCCTTAGGCAACCTGGTGATCCCCTGCTCCTGGGAGGTCACCATATTGAGGCCGAACCTAGTGCAGACACCCGATTGGCATAGCGCACTATAGCCCAGAACTGGGCTCAAGAGATCTCCCACCTCAGCCTCCCGAGTAGCTGGGACTACAGGCACGTGCCACTGCACCCAGCCAAACTTCAAAATTTTTACCCAGCAAGTTCCACTTTGGCTAAAGTTTCAAAGAAGCTGGAAACAGTGTCAGAGGAGAGATGTGACTTCAGAAGGGTTCAATACACATTCTGCAAGCATAATTTACCATTGGCTATGTGTTTCAAGTTGCACAGCCTATAAATGTCCCTAAATCCAAGTGGGACATTGAAACTCTCCCTTCCACCTAATAAACGCTCTCCCATTCAACAGAATCCATGTCATAGTCAAGCTCCTCCATAAGCTACATTACAGGTTCAGTGGCAGGGGACACTGGATTGACTATAAAGCCCAACTAACTTATGAGCTTAGACTAATCCTAATATAAAAATATTTTGGCTCTAAATGGTGTAAGAATATGTGTCCAGGAGCAGCGGCTTACACCTATAATCCCAGCACTTTGGGAGGCCAAGATGGGTGGATCACTTGAGGTCAGGAGTTTGAGATCAGCCTGGCCAATACGGTAAAACACCGTCTCTACGAAAAATATAAAAAATTAACTGGACATGGTGGCAGATACCTGTAATCCCAGCTATTTGGGAAGCTGAGGCATGAGACTCGCTTGAACCTGGGAGGCACAGATTGCAGTGAGCCAAGACTGTGCAACTGCACTCCAGCTTGGGTAGCAGAGTGAGACTCCATCTCAAAAAAACAAAAAAAAAAAAAATATGCATCCATATTACTTTATACACACATAGGTATTAGCACAGAGATGAAAGGAAGCCTTTCTACTTACATTTTTTTTTTTTTTGAGACAGGGTCTCACTCTTTCGCTTAGGCTGGAGTGCAGTGACATGATCTTGGCTCACTGCAACCTCTCTCTGCCTCTGGGTTCAAGTGATTCTTCTGACTCGGCCTCCCGAGTAGCTGGGGCTACAGGTACACACCACCATGCCTGGCTAATTTTTGTATTTTTAGTAGAGGCAGGGTTTCATCATGTTGGCCAGGCTGGTCTAGATAGAACTCCTGACCTCACGATCTGCCTGCCTCGGCCTCCCAAAGTGCTGGGAAGGAAGGCTTTCTAAAAGGGAGCTTTTTCAAACTCAAGTCAATGCAGTCCCCACCTCACTCTTACATCTACTCCCATTCTACTGTGGAAGGAAATGCACTGGGCCAGAAAATGTGCTATAAATCCAGCTATGGTACCTCATTATCACACTATCCTCAATAAAAGTTCAGTGGATCTTGTCCAGTATGCACCAACCCTAAACACAAGTGTTCATCACCAAACAGAACTGTAGATGATCAAAGTCCAGACCTTTTTAAGTAAAATAGAAGGGAGAAATATGATTAATTGATAGGTTCCTGTGTGTTTAAAACTTATCTCTAAACAAGGAAAACTTCCCAGGTCAAGGCCAAAGTCATCTTAAGTTACTCTACTCTCTTATTCCTTTTGCATGGTCAGCAACATTTTCTACATATTAGAAGACATTCACTAAATTGTCAAAACACTAAAAACATAAACTTGGGAAAATCCAGAGTCATAGAATTTATTTATTTATTTATTTTGAGACAGAGTCTTGCTCTGTCACCCAGGCTGGAGTGCAATGGTGCAATCTCGGCTCACTATAATTTCTGCCTCCCGGTTTCAAGCGATTCTCCTGCCTCAGCCTCCCAAGCGGTCCGCCTGCCTCGACCACCCAAAGTGCTAAGATTACAGGCATGAGCCACTGCTCCCAACCCAGAGTCATAGAATTTAAAGGGAACTAAATGAACAGATAATTCAAAATGTATTTATTTCAACAAGAAATGACACAATCTGGCCAGGTACAGTGGCCCACACCTGTAATCCCAACACTTTGTGGGGCTGAGACAGGTAAATCGCTTGAGCCCAGGAGTTCCAGACCACCCTGGGCAACATGGTAAAAACCTGTCTCTGCAAAACACAGGCAAAAGAACAGCCGTGTATGGTGACATGTGCCTACAATTCCCAGCAACTCAGGAGGCTGCAGTGGGAGGATTGCTTGAGCCTGGGGAGATCAAGGCTGCAGTGAACCGTGATTGTGCCACTGCACTCCAGCCTAGGTGACAGGGTGAGAGACCATGTCACAAAAGAAATAAATGACACAACCTTTTTGAATCAGTAAGCCTGTCCCCTATTCAAAAAAGTTAACAATTTTATTTACTCATTCTACGAACATTTATTAAATACCTAATTTTTGCAAAGCACGGACAAACATGTTACAAGGAGTCAGTATGTCCTCAAAGAATTCTTCATTCTGAATTTCAAAATACCTGAATCTATGAATTCATTCAACAAATATTTTGGACAGGCCTCCATGCTGCATGCTGCATGCTGGGACTTCTAAGGCAAACAAGACACAGTTCCTGCTCTCAAGGAAGTTAGAATAAAAAGGAGGAAACAGATAAGAAACTGATATCATTAAACTTTATGTGCACCAATGAACTATTTTTTTTTTATTTTTCATGCCTGTGAGACAAGTTCAAGGTCAATTAACTACTAAAAACAGTTGCAAAAAGGATATTTAATGGAGGAGCCTACATATACAAAGCAGGCAAGCTGTGCTCAACCATTCCCTTCTTTCAAAAAGCTAAATGGCAGCTTGGTAGGAGGACTACCTGAACAAATCACTCAATTTCTTCATGCCTGTGTGCCTATTAAAATGGTAATAATAATAGTACTTCATAGAACTGTTGAAAGGATTAGATAAATTAAAGGTTTAGAATTCTTCCTGGGACTTATTAAGTCTGAATAAAGCTTCAGTATTATAATCAGTAAAATCAAAAGTAAAAATTGGCTTTTGGTTAATGGTCTGGGAACTTGACTTTTATTCATTCATATATATATATGGATATACATACATACATATATATTTTTTTTTCATAGAAAGATGCCTCCTGACCTCCAAATTTCCTTCACAGTTCCTCTCATACTACAATTAATGACGTTTACAGGTTCACATCTTCCCTGAACTCCAGCTCCTGTAGGCCCTATGCCAGCCATTTCTGTTGCCCCAGGGCCTAACCCAGTGATTGTTGAATGAGCAACAAAGAACGTGCTGGTGCTGAAAATAGAACTTCAGGAACCCATGTATACAGTTTTCCTTCCAAAGGTGTAAACAGGAAGCCCGGTGATAACAAGAATGTGGAAACTTTCCTCCTTGAACTCCTGGTTATCTTATCTCAAAACTACCAGAAGAAAAAGAAAAAAGCAGCCTTAGTTTGAAATGTTTCAAGTAATTCTCAATTTAGAACTTTACTTTCCCCCACTCCCAACCTCATCATAGTTCCTTTGCAGCATGCTCTCCAGCACACTCGGAGAGGCATCCATGGTCAGTTCGGCAGAGAACCAAATGTTTGTTGGATCTGATGGGACAAATAGCCAATGCACTAGCTTCTGCCACTTTTGTTGTGGCCGTGGTAGTTGAGAGTAGCGATTTTGACGTTTCTGCAGCTATCATGGCAGTCTTCACAGACTGGATGTTTTTTGCTTTTTAATTGTTGCAATTTAAAGGCAAAGGAAAAAGAAGGGAATAGTGTTGGTCTCAATTCGTGTCATCCTAAAACATAATCAGATTTTATATCCAATCTTTGGCCTGAGGTCAGGGTGAAGAATTGCAAAGAAATGTCGAGGGACCCAAGTCTGAATGTGAAATTCATTTGTGTTTTATAT